TAAAAAAAGTGTTTCACATCAGGAATTCTATACAGTTAGTCAGGAAAGATGTAGTCTTGTCGGGTCATTGACAGTCAGTGGAAGAGAACGGAATGGAGACTCCAACGGTAGCGGCAGAGGATTATTCTATATTTAAACCCTCCGCTTTCAGCTCCTGCTCACCTTCACATATTAACTGATCACAGAGTTTTATTCAGCTACCCTGAAACATAAGCTGAATAGTTGTGTGTGTCCGAAACGTAAGACATAGCAAAGTCATGGCCAAATCACAATCCGTTCTTCTTTGGAATTTGTTCAGATTACTGATATGGAATTATTTCAGATTACTAATAAAATCCAACCAATTAAATACAAATATTTCTCCCTCGCATGATATTAGTATTCCTCGGAAAAAAACTCAAAACTCCTCTTTGAGTGCGGAGTTAATGATATCATGATATACCGCTTTCAACTACGGTCCTGGTATTAGAAAAGATTCCATATCAAGTGCCGCAGGAGAGAGAGGACGAAGACATGACGACAGCGTCTAGCGTTGTGACGTTGAGGGCGTCGGCGGTGACAATGATGTTGCCTTGAGCTGCTGCGACGGTGCTCGAGGCGGCAATGGCGCACAGTGATCCGAGGGTCTGAAGATGTTCAAAATTTAGACAATGAATCAAAAAGGTGCTAAGTCAATATATTTCTAAATTTATAGACCTAGAACCGGCAAGGTGTTTGTCAATTGAATTTTATCGGAAGAAATCAAATTATTGATAATTGCAGGTGACAAATTTCTTACGTGTGAAGGGAGGCACGTGATTAAGAAAGGATTCTATAATATTAAGCTTAAGGAACTCATAAAGAAGGGAAAGAGCCAATGTCTTGAATACTTCGAGCATTGTTCTGCTTCGAGCATCTGACTTCACCAAGGTAAACCATGGCAACAAGACTAGAGCACTTCGTACTTGTACACAATGATTCTGAATATGTTGCTGCGATTTTTGTCTCTTGAATTCACCAACACTGGATATTTTAAATCAGAATTTCATTTCTTCAGTTGCTATCTCATCGGTTTCTCCGTTCCGGACGCTTCATCTCGGCTGCTTTTAATCTACCCGATTGTTATGATCGATAAAGTCTTGTTTTCTGATCCACATACGAGTATATGGACATTACAGACATCCATCTTTGGAGCTTCTCGATATTTTCTCAGTGATCTCTCGATGATTCCGTACTGCCATCATAATCAATGTCAGAATCCAATGAGGCAGAAGTGGGAAACGTGTTCCGACCTGGTGATGAGTGCGGTGAATCGTTCCCACTGTGTGGCGGCGGCGTCGGGTGTGGGAGTCGGTGCGGCACGGCGAACAGTAGCGCCCACGACGCCTCCGACACCCACCGCGCGCTCTGTATTAGGCTGCACTCGCCGCCCACCGCCGCTCCACGCCGTCGCGGGTGAGGCAACGCCCCTCCCGCCCTCTCGCGCCCCTCTCGCTCTACTTTGCGAGCGCG